CACACACACACACACACACACTTAACTCACCATGATTTCATCCTGAAGGAGCAAAAGCCACAGAGAGAAGGAAAAAGAGAAGAAACACAAAAAGAGAAATCACTAGGAAGACACAAGAGGCCACAAGATAAGAAAATGAAAAAGAGGAAGAAGAGGAAATGGAGGAAAGTAGAGGAGACTCTGCAGTAAAAGCTTCAAAGTGGAAAATAACAAATATTGCAAAGACAGGATAGAAAGGATTTTTGTTGTTTCTTTAGTTTAGTAGAAATCTCAAAAATCTGTCATTTTTATGGAAAGTAAATTATATTAATTTATAAGTAATGTGAGAACCATATTTGACTTTAAATGTCAAACCACTTTCAATTATTCGGATTTTGAGGATTGTGCAAATATACTCGCTTCCTGAAAGCGTTCTTTCTTTTGATATTAATATTACGATCGCTGTTCAAAGCTTTAAAACATGACAACTATTATGGGTGATATTTCGCAACACACACCAGTTTGTGAACCACGACTTTCACCGGGAGAACAATTTGTTTCGAGATTCAACAACTGTTGTCCATTAGCGTTTGCAACATGTGCAGTGTAAGAGCTGCATTGTGTAGGATATGGACTGTTGCCCAGGGTAACACAATACTGTATAGCTGTACTGCATTTCACATGGACAAACCAGAGAGCTAAGTGCTACCAGAGTAAAGCCTCCGGGGGAAAAGACTGCATGAAGCTCAAATGTCATGCCTCGGTCTAACAGATGAAACACTTTGTTGAATTCATGCAGATTAAAGTAGCCTGAAGAAAATGACACAGATCTGTACTATAACCTGTGAAACGACAGCGAACATGTCTGTATGTTTGTGATTTAAATACCTGGTTGCCGGCTGCCTTCTTCTTGTTCATTTGGCTGATCCTTTGTTGAGCGCTGTACAAAAAAAAAATCACACAGTGGTTTGACCTTTGCCAGCACATGTACACAATTAAGTTTTACATTTGGTCTGTATTTATATTCCGCAGCATAACTCACTTGGCAAATCCAATAAAATCCTCATGGTTGGTGTTCATGTAAGACAACTCGATGTCTATCAACAGCAGCACCTGAACAGACAGAGACAGTGAGAGGTTATCATAAAGGGCTCATATGTTTCTCATTTATTGAAATATTCCAACAATACTCCCTAGGAAATTCATGACTTGCCAAGAAAATGCTTTTTTTCCTGTTATGTTAAATCACTGCAGTATAGTTGTCATGCCGTTGCTGAAATAGTTTTGCAGCAGCAAACTACATTTCAAAACTACAGGATGTCCCAGAGAGATCACATTTTTTCTGTCTAATTCTCTTCCAGATCTATTGATGCTGAAAAAAAAGTATTTCCATGCAACTATATCATTTTTCTAAAACAATTCTGGAGGCATACGTTTTTGTTTGTGGAATAATGTGACATTACAAATATCCTAGAGTGGGATATCTATTGCTTTAACTTTGGCCACTAGAGGTCTCTCGATCAAATAATAACAAAGACCTAGCTTGATGGCGTTGTGAAGCAGCGGCCTTCAACCACCATTCTCATTGAAAATCTACCTGACGTGACTCAGCTGATAATCATGTTCAGGGATGGAGAAGTTTTATTCACAAATGGCAAAGAATAATTACGAGTCCCTACATTACATGGGATCAATACAAACAGCGGCTAACATCATGTTGGTCCCAGAAGTTATAGCAGAGCAGGGCAAAGCCACAAGTAAAGTGGATATGACACAATCAGAAGGTGACCGAGATGATACCTTGAATAAAACTGGGGATTTCTCTGGGTTTCAACATTATTGGAAACATTTTGGAAAAACATGTCAACAAAATATAAAAATTCTTAACTCATAAGATGCTGAGATCATTATTTATTCGCCAATAAATATGGAGGGTGCAGCAGTGAAATACTGTGTTAGTTCATAAATCAATACAAATCAAATCCTCCTCTGCACCACTTCAAAACCACTAGTTTCTCTTAGGGTGCTTGTAGTGTCTGTGTGTTACCTGCGTCTTAGTGCGGCTTTCCCGGTCCCTGATGTGCTGCGTGACAATTCTCTCCATCTCCTCTCGCAGCATGGGATACTGAGCCAGCTGTGACCACAGAGATTAATAGGTAGGTGGCAAACCCCAAAACAACACATGGCAACACACACACTGTCACAAATAACTGTCACAAAGTAAACCACAAAATGACTCATCTTGCCAAACCACAACTCAGTTCCACCAATACAACAAAGTACATAACAGGAACACAACTTAACATGTTATCTTGTGGAGTTTATCCCAGACTGAGCTCTACTCTCTGCATATCCAGCGAGTGAATTTGAATTAGACTGGATTTCAAATGCAAAACAATCCCAGCATTGAACAAACGCACAAGAGTAGAGCACAATCTGTGATATTGACCACATACACACAAAAAAAGAATATGCAATGTTTCTGGCAAAAAAAAAAAAAAAAAAAGGGGGCTTCCTTTTCCCAGCACACTGTGGGTCTTTTTCCATGAGCTCATTGCAAACCCACAAACGCAGACATTGGTGGGCCTCCAATGTGACAAACACATTTGGAGAAGTGTGGGGAAGGAAGAAAAATCAAAATCACGATGCAAGACAGAAAAACAACGTTTTCTTGCAAGTTACAATGCATCTTTCATTTCTGTCGGACGGTTTTGGGAGCAAGTGGATATCAATACACCTTCTGTTTCCCAAGTTGAATCACTGCCTCCTAATCTGATCCAGAGCAGAGGACACACAAGGAAAATATGCTTTTGAATAAGTGGTCACACTGCTGACATGAATTTCAGTCCAGTTGCTGGCTTTAAAACTTTTATGAATGTGCGGGCAAGTGTTTGAAACTGAAGCTTTTCATTTCTCGTTGTGTTGAACTGTGTGTGATTAGGATACTCACTAAACAAGTAGCAGCAGTGCTTCAAATGCAAAGAGACATGTCACTAACTAACCACATGAATTTGTGGGATTTTAATGTTACATTTTAATATTTAAAACACCCCAAAAAAAAACAGTGTTCAGGACTTAAAGATCGTGGGAGCAGGTCCTGGACGCTACCAGCTACATCAGAGGGAATGAAAATGACAATAGACCTTTTTTTAGCAGCCATTTTGACGGAGAAGTAGGTGATCACAGGTGTTAACAAGTCTCACCTGTGATCACCTGCTGGTTCATGTCAGAATGGCTGCTGTGAAGGTCGTTAACAGCTGGTGGAGGAGGACGAACTCAAATTGGATCAGTCCTCATTATTGATTACTTTTAAAAAATATGATCATGTCTCACACTAGAATTTGTAAAAATGAAGTGGCGTAGAAACTACTGCTGATTTATGCAGTGAAGTAAAAGTGAAATGAAAATAAATCTACCTGAGTAAAGTACAAATAAACAATTTAAAAACTACTTCAGTACAGTAAAATAGTAATTGTACTTTATTATATCACACCAGTGATAACAGCTCTGTGTTTGTGGAGTGATTTCTACATACTAATACATTAGTTTTGTAGAGCTGTGTACAAATACTATGGATAGTGATAAATATGTCAATAATATTTAAACTGCATTCTACTACATTGAAGCTTGAAGTGTAGGGACAGTATATTTGTGACAGTTTATGATTAGAAATATTTTAAATTGATTTTTAATGTGTTATTTGAAAGCAACACACTATCAGATACATCCTCCGTTAGAAATTGATATCAACACCATACTGCTGGTTGGCGATGTTCAAACGCAAAGTTTGATGAAGTAAAAAAAGCCTTGAACACGTTCAGTGTTCACATCTGGATCACATCAGAAAAGCTCAAGCACACAATGTAAAAAAAAAAACCTCCCAATTTGTTTTGTCAGTAACACAACTCGGTAAACAGTGAGGAAAGACTTGTAACTGGCAGCTGTAATTAACAATGTCACCATTGTCCTGTTGCCAATAGAAACAATGTTAACTGATTTGCACTTCGGGGTTTTCACGCTTTGTGAGTTCACGTCAGTTCTGGAGAACTGTGGAATCCATGAAAGAAAAACTTTTAACAAAACAAAACATGAAAAGTGGATATATTTACTATCAAAGCATCTGAAAACAGCACAACTTGTGCAGCTGGAAAGGTGCATTGCAACTTGAAGGCTGTCAAAGGTGTTCAGTGTCCTAAAACTGACACAGAAACACGACAAAGACAGGAGAGAGGAATCCTTTCTATAAAAGAATAAGGCAGCAGGCAGAAACTCTCACACTTATTCAGACTGACATGCAATGCCAGGGAGCTGGGAGACATGGAGGGATGGGAGGAATGGGGGAGGAGGACAACTTCAAACTGACCCCTTTATGGATTTTCCTAGTCACTATATAATACTGTATCAGCCAGTATCTTTAAAAACCGTGTTTCTGAAAGTGAATCCAAGATAAAAGAGTGACAGAAAAGAGAAATCCAAAGGAGGTCGTGCTAGCTTTTGGTCATTTGCTTTGGGAGGAGGCAGCCGGTTGAAAGGGTTAGAGGACGAGAGGACGAGAGGACGAGAGGACGATAGAAAAATAAAAAGAGGAATGAAAGAAATGCTGGAAGTTTCAATTAGTCTGTGAGTGGATCTACACAATAAATCACAACACTATTGAGCCATAAAGACAAAGACAGAAATGAAAATGAGATTTTAACCAAATTAAATTAAAAGATTTTTAGACATCACGATGTCAAGTGTGAAGAAAATAAAAATCTAACATGCAACTTGTTACATTGTAAATATGTTGTGTGGTTACACTAATAAAATAAGTAAGGACAGACCGATATCTGCTGGACGAAGTCTTGGATCATGAATTATTGATGGTGCTGCTCTCTGGTTTTACCAGTGTGCAAACGTATTGTAGTTTTTGATTCAATTGTTTTGTGTATTTGTTTAAAGTCAGTTTACATAAATGAATGAATCTAATATATTGATCATGGGCAGGTAATGCTATTTAACCACTATTTGTGTAGGTTGATCAGCCAGGCACTGAAACATCCAATTTATTTCAGTAATTGTACAGATATTCAAATCATTTTTATTTGTTTTTTAGCACCACCATATCTCATTGACTTGGTCTAGAAGTAGGGATGTATTGTTGTGATTAGTTTAGAATGTATTTTCTAAATAATAATAGTATTTTGAAATCTATAGGGTACAAACCTGAAAATTGGTTATAGATAATTAGATTACATTTGATACTACAAGAAAGCAATCTATTGTTACTACTGAGGATAAATAGTTTGGATGTAGCATTGCACCTTATTTATATAATGTCAAATGTAAATGATTAATCAGAAGGGTCATTTTCTTGTGAGAAATAATTTAAAAAGAAAAGTTCTATCTAACAAATATCTATATAAAACCTACTTAATCTAAATCACTCTACTGTTGGTTAATGACAAATTTCTTTAAAAAATATTGCAATGAAGCAGTTGAGGCCTGGTTTTTCTTATTTCACTCATAAATCTCCTAATATCACTTTTTATAAAATAAAAAAATCTTCAGCCATCGGTCTGCCCCTACATGTGAGAGTAACTGGTATAGAGTGAATGTGTCTTGGCTTTATTTGTTATTTTACCTTGTTACTACACTTTTGAATGGTGAAGGTGAGTTCGCTCACTACCATATCTATACACTTCAGTGTGGGCCCCTTCAGCTTTTGGATCTGCTTTTTCACTATGGCCTCAAAAGCCAGGTCAGGGGTGAACAGCCCCGTCCTGTAGGGATAGGCAGGCGGCACGGGAGAGAGGAGTGAAACCAAACAGAAAGAAGAGGTGGGAAAAAATTTGAGAAAGCGAAGAGGTAAAGGAGGAAGAGTTGTAAGAGGAGATACGACAGAAATAGGAACGTGGCGAGGTGACACAAATAAAAACAAAAGGAGAGAAAACGGATGGCAAAGAAAGAGGACAATGATGAAGAAGAAACAGATTGAAGATTAAAAGACAAGGAGAGGTGTGGTGTTGGAGGGGGGGTAAACAGCACAGAAGAAGGAAAATGAAAGTGAGACATTTGGTTTCCCCTGAAGCCATTCTGAAACAGGGCGGGGCTGGAGTATCTCTCCATCAGTACAGAGCAAACAGAAGAAAGGAAAGATGAGAGAAAGATAAAGAAAGCTCCAAGCCTGCACATCTCCACCAGCCAAAAACTCCAAGCCACGGCACCGCAAGACCGCAGCTATGCAACCCCACGCTCAGCCAGGAAGCCCGACCGCTCCTGGTGCTGACCTTTGACCTCCTCCACCCATCCCGCCCTCTCTTCTTACTTCCAGCGGGACCCCAGTCATAACATTTACTATCCCAGGGCCTCCAGATTGTTGCAGTCCAACTGCTGTTGAAATTGTTTGGTCACAGTGGATCAATCTGGACGAAGACTACTTCTCCTTCTCTTGGCCACACTCGCAGGCCTCTGCTGAGAGTGTGGCCCCTGAGGCCCTTAAAGCATAATCATCATGGCTCCTGTCTCCTGCAGGTGCACAGCTGCGGTCTCACACACAAGAAGGTCTGAACGCTGAGGTCATCCAGTATGGCTGCCAGGAAGTCGAAGTGAGTGAGGTGTGATGATGCCAGGGTTATCAGTGGGGCTGGTAGTGAAACAGCTCCAGGAATTAATTTTTGTAAATGTAAAAGTTCGGTAAATGTGTATACTTCACATCTAGTGGCTAGTCTGGCAAAGGGCTGTCACTTTTTATTAAATATAAATTTAAAAAATATAAAATTTGGACTTTCATTTGAACATGGGGGAATACTTTGAATACTTTATTCAAATTCAAAATATAAAGTCTAAAAGCGCATCGGACCATCAGAAGTATTCTCCTGATCCAGCAGAAGGTGTTCACTGTCAGCTTGACCTATCACACGCTCCCTTGAACTATAAATTCATTGATTGATTTCTGGAGAAAGTGACGGCCCCAGTCTGGCACACCCCCCTAATTTTTTTAAATAATTAATTCTTGGTCAGATAGACAAACTCACTGACTCTTATTTGGCAAACATATTTCGATGACAGCTCAGCCTCCACACAGGATTTCTCCAGCACAGCTTTCTACCACGGCCAGCCTGTCCAGCCAAACCTGTCCGAAGCGGTTCAGTCGGCAGGCAGACGGGCGCACTGCAGCCCACCCTGCCGCTCCAGGCGTCCCCCTCGCCGTCCAACAACAGCGAGGGGCTGGAGAGAGCCAGGGTGGTTACAGTAAAAGGGAGTAAACAGCAGAGGGGGACTTTGCAGATGAGGGGTGACAATAATCTACCGTTTACTTTTATTTTTTTACCTTCTTGGTACACTGCCTAACCGTATTGACTAGCTCAGAAATGACCATGTCCACACATTTGGTGCACGGCTCTTTAATCTTCCCAATCTGCCTTTTCACAATGGTCTCAAAGGCCATGTCCGGGGTGAAGAGGCCAGTTCTGTCCAGCAGGGAAAGAACCAGCCACAGGGCCCAAAAAATAAATAAATAAAGGGCGATAGAGAGAAGAAGGAGGGAGGAGGGTTGGGTAAAGAGAAGAATGTTAATTGTAAAGAATTATCCTCCATTTCTGAGCTTTTGCCCCAAAACATAAATTAATGCAACTTCAGACATAGAGAGGGAAAGGGGATGGAGTGATGAAACACAACAGACATCAAGTACTATTGCAGTTAGTATGTTACTGTAGACCAGGTGGTGAATGATCCAATAGGAGGATACATCGATATTTATAAATGAATCACTGTTTTATGTAAAAAAGCTATAATCTGTGCAAGTACCCAAAATGCATGTGTGGAAAATCTTGCTTTACTCTTATCCATTATTTCATATGTAAAACTACCTTAAAAACATGTGTGTTCAAATATATTGTATTTTAAAAAGTGTATAAGCAACAATAAGAGCAGGATTTTCACCAGCGACAAACGAGACAAAATGCACATTGAAAGGTTAGAAAAATAACTCCCAAACCTCCTCTTTCTAAATTCATTGATGCCATTAGTTACTCAAGCAGAGCACTCGAGCCAAGTCTGGAGGTCTCGATGATTACAAAGACAAAGACACTTAGACGCTCACTGAGATGGAGAGACAGAGGGAGGTGAAGTAAAGAGGAAGGGTAGGAGAGGAGAGATGGAGGGTGGACGTGCCTGATGCCGTGAATGTTCTTGATGGCGTAGCTGATCTCCTTCCTCAGCTCCTTCTCATCGAACTCCATCTGGGGAAAAGAAAAACACAGACGACAGAGGGGGTAAGTACACACAGGCCTGCTCTCACATCTTCATACATCAGTTTAAATGAGAAATGCTGGGACTACTACTTTTTTTTTTTCGAGACTTTATGCAAAGTGAACCTGCTTTATATTAATTCTCATTAAAATGATAAGAAAGTAAACTTAGCATTAAGCTGCAAAAAAACATTTAATTTCCTAGCGAATTGCTGCATAATTCAACATCTACTTATAAAAATGATTCAACAAAACAAGGAGGGAGAGAAAAGATCTCATGCTCATAATCCCACAGACATATGAGAAAACCACTGGGCTGAAACATTTCCCTCAGTGTTGTAAAAATGTCTCTGCTGCATTTATTTTGAAAACGTTAATCAGGCTTTTTCCCAAACAGATCTTTCTGAAAACAAAGTAGGATATATAATCTGATCTGCTATATTCCTGTAGGTTCTGTTTTTCATTTAAAAGTATATTACTTCTTTATGGCAACGCACCAATCTTTTTTATATATTTTATTTGAAGCATATATTACTATCGCATAAAGCATCATGATAAACTGACTTCTAATGCATCTGGCAGACACTGGGGGTTTTCTGTGTTACGAGCCAAGCTTCTGGTTAGGAAGCAACTTGCTCTGTCTTCACGGTGGGAAACTGACAGGGCGTCTTTTCTGCAGTCTTGAGTCACAGACGGTAAGTTTTTATATCCTCAGAGGGAGGGTGAGGGAGGACAAAGTGGAGGGATACATGAGAGGAGGGGGAGGGAGGACTGACTGAGAGAAAATGAAAAGAGAGAGAAAGCAAACATGTAAACAGGGTCGGGGTGAGGTAAAAAGCTCAGGGAGACAGAGGTCGGAGAAGGTGGATAAAGGAACGAGGGGTTAAGATAATGTGGAAGGTGGACGTGAGGGATGAATTAAGGATGAACATCGTGACGGAGTGAGAGAAAAAGATGAGGTGAGGGAAGACCTTGCGATGGGGGGGGGGGAATTGGAATGTTTGAGAGAGAGTCCAGAGGGAGGACTTCTCTCCTTCTCAGACTGAGAGAGGACATAGAGGAGGAAGCAACTTAATGATGTAAAGAGGCTGAGAAAGATATTTGTCATAAACCAAGAAAGTCGTTTATTTATTTTTTCATTCTTTCTTTTTCTGCTCCTGAGATTTTCTCTCTCGTTATCAGTGGTCACTACCTGTTTTATGCATCACCACATTTTTACTTCTAAATATTCTTTTGGAAAATGTTCAACAAAATTTTTGACGCCAAAGTGTCTCGATCGCCACCTGGTGGCTGGCTGCAGTATGAATCATAAACCCTGTCTCCTCCATGTTAGCAAACAAGTCAAAGTGTTTGACCTGGGATCTAATTAGTTATTTGATTCCATAATGTCAAACACATGAACATCTGGCATGCACACACCTTGACCAGTTCAAACGGGAAGCGTTCATGGAAGATACGATTGATCCTCGCACCACCTGACAGCTCAGCCGTATCAATCTGGTCGCCAGAGCCCTCTATGCACTTCTCGAAATCCACAGAGAACTGCTGCACCATCCTGCAGGGAGGCGGAGACACAGATATCAATAAATCCATCGATCTCTATCTATCTTAAAGACTATACTTGCATATACTCACTGGAGCAGAGCCTTGGTCTTGCGAGACGGATCGTCAGGTCTGAAGTTCTTGTATTCCTCCACCTCCTTCTCTATGGAGAGGAGCTGACTCTGTAGCTTGGCTCGCAGCCCCGGCAGGGTGTCGCGGATGTGGTTGGTCAGTTGCTGTGCAGGTCAAAGGTCAGAGTTGGACAGAAGGGGTCAGAATGAGACAGAGTGTTGCAGACCTCTGAATGGATGAACTGCAGACCCCCTCCAAGTCCTGGTTTGCCCTTATACAAACCTGATTGAGGACTTTCTGGAGGTAGGGAGTTCCCATGCGGTCTGCCAGGTGTCTGTATGAAGGGTGGGTGAGAAAGAACTTCCTCTCAGCAGCCATAGCTGCATTAATGTCCTTCTTCCCATCTATGTCCTTCTGGCTCCTGTTCACCACGCCGACGTATCCTGGACGGAACAGACGAGAGACATTTACAACACAGTCTGAACAATTGCAAGATTTGCAGAAAACCAGATCCAACTTCGACCATCACTTCCTGGAATTTCTCAATGTTTGTGGCCTGAATGGTAATTTGAATGGCAGATATTATGGTCTTGTATTAGAGCAAACTTGGCTTGTGCTGGACTCTTGTTTAAGTTTGAAAAGCCAAACCAAGAATGAAAATGGCATCCAGCAGTTGACCACTGAGAAAACAGTGTTTAATATTGTTAAACTGTGTAAAACCACATTTTAAGAGACATGGGACTGAAGAAAAGATCAGAGATGAGGGATGAACGGAGGAGAGGAATGCAGGAAAGAAGAAGAAGGAGTTACATGAATAAATCCCAGTATGTGTATGTGTGTCCAAGTATTTAAGACAGAAAGAAAGAAAGAAAAAGGGAGGAAAAGGAAAAACCGAGCAGAGTTCAGGTCACACGGATCCCATTTCACCTCCAGTTAAGTTTCCTCAAGCATCACTCAGTTACAGGCCGTTTCATGCTCTATAACTAATGCAACTGTGAGCCAGCAGCCTTGTAAATGGGAACATCCATGGCAGAGAGAGAAGGAGCAGAGAAGAAGAAGAAGACGAGGGTGGAAAAACAACATAGAAAAAAAAAAACAAAGGAAATGGAAAATATTTCAAAGCACATGTTTGGGTCTTAACCAGGAGCAAATGGAAAAGAAAAGCACCACATCAGCACATTGCAGTAAAGGGCAACCCGCAACATACATGCATGTAAGCTCTTTTCCGAAGCTGGTGTTTTTCTCTTTGCCCCCTTCTTCTCTTCCTCTCTGCCTCTGTTTTGATTTCTCACTCTGTTCTGTTTTATTAAACCCTCCCTCACCTCCTCTCAGTGGTTGGAGAACTGAGAAACTTTGAGGTCGACTGCCTTGTTGCCACAAGAGGGAAACAGTGTGTCACTGCAGGCAAGGAGACAAGACCAAGTGTGT